CCTAATGTAAACCCTAATGTAAACCCTAATGTAAACCCTAATGTAAACCCTAATGTAAACCCTAATGTAAACCCTAATGTAAACCCTAATGTAAACCCTAATGTAAACCCTAATTTTAGGATCCATTTTAACACCTTGCCCTGCGCGTACGATAAATCCAAGATAGAGGGTTTCCTTTCTTTCGAACTCGCACTTTTTAATATCCAAAAACAGGCCGGCTTCCTTCAGTTTTTGTAATACTTTTCGTATGTGTTCGCGGTGCTTTTTAACGTCTCCATCTGTATAGATTAACACATCGTCAATATAAATTAAATAGAATTTGTCAAGGTATTTGCATAGTACTTAGTTAATATATTTCTGAAAGATATTTAAAGCATTTACCAGTCTAAAGAATATTACTAGTTATTTATATAGCCCGTACCGCGTATGAAAAGCTGTTATTTATTCTTAATCTTCTATAATACAGATTTTGTAAAAAGCGGACGAAATATCTAATTTAATAAATTATTTTACTTTTCCAATTTGATTTAGAATCTTATAGATTAAAAAAAGCGGATAGTAATTCTTTATAATTATATTAAACACTCGATGATTTATATAGAATCTTAAATCTTTTTTAATTTTTATATAAAAAGTACCGGAGCTGCTGCTGAAAAATAGCTAATTTATATAAAATTCTTCTCTAATAGTTTAATTAGTTTAGATTATAAAACTGTTAATTTTTTTTAGAATATATTATAGAAAGAGCCCTACGGGACTTTTAGCTTTTTTTTATTCTAATATATAAACTCAATTTTATAGTTGATATTTTTTTTTTAATATAACAGTAGTTTTTCTGTATTCTCTGATTGAAAGAAAAGCAGAAAGTTTTAATAATATTTAAAAAATATTATATATAGATCAGCTGTTTTTTTAATTTAAAATATTTTTTAAATATTAATAAATAAGACTGTAAATATTTCTATACTTTTTTCAGATCTTTTCCGCAGATAGTTTTTAAATCCTATTCTTACAATTGGCTGAAGTTTTAGATTTATATATTATAAATATAATAAATCTCTTAATTTTATTTTAATTATATATAAAAATAATCGTCTTCGGTCCGGTTTTTAGAATTTTATTATAATAGAACAGCCAGCTTTTTCTTAAAATTAAATTATATCTAAAATTATTAAATATTATATAAAAGTACGCTTCTTCTTTTATATAAAATCTTATATTTATTCTTATTCGTACGATAGAATAGATTAATATCTTATTATTTAAGATTTTTTATACCGGCCTTAAAATAATATTAATAATTAATAGATTATTTGCTTTAATAAATATATTATTTATAATATTATAAATTAGATATTCTAAATTAATAAGAATACGGGCAGTTGCAGTAAGATTTAAAATAATCTTTATTAAAAAAAAATATATAATTATATATTTCTTTTTAAAATTTTTCTATTTTTTTTAGTTTTATTTAGTAATTTTTATTTAAATATATAATTTTATACTAAACTTTTTTTTTTCCGAATCGGAGTCTTTGTCTGAAAAAAATATATTATTGTTTTTATTATTAAAAAATAAATATTGCGGCGGCTATATTTATTAATTATACAGTAAGTTTTAAAAAATATTAATAAATAAAATATTTATTTTATTTATAATAGAAACAGCAATCTGCTTTATATCTTTTCTATATTTTATTAAATATTATTTATTAAATTTATTTTTAAAAATTATTAGTAGTTATACGGAAGTAGTATTTTTCTTACTATACAGCAGTTATTTAAGTAGATTTTTATTCTATTAATTTAAAATTTAATTTATATTATATCAGTACGGTTTTAATATAACTTTTTTTAAAAAAAAATATTTTATTAAGATTATAATTTATATAATACAGTTAGTTACAATAATCTTTATATATAGATTTTTAAAAAATTCTAATTAAATTTTTAATAAATTTTTAATTTATTATAATATTTAATATAGTTTTTTTTATTCGTCCGACTAATTATATCTATCTGCTTATAACAGAGTTTTATTAAAATTATTTAAAAATTCTTTTACTTTTTTTTTTATTTTATTATATTTATCCGATTTAGAACTTTTTGTTGTATATCGGAATTTCTAAATATTTTATTTATTATTATAAATATATCTTTAAATTATATTATTTCGGTATTTTAAAATTTAATTTAAAAAAGTATCTGTTATACTGCCCGTCTGTGTAGTTGATTATAAATATAAAAAACTTATTCCGATTTAGTAGAATAACAGCTTTTATTAATTATAAATTTTATATATATATTTAATTTAAATAGTTTATAGTTGTATTTATTTTTTTATTAAATAGTTCTATAATAAAATATTAAGAACGGGATCTGTAATTCAGCTTATACAGATACTATAAAAAGTTTTCTTTTAATTTACTATTAGTAATAAAAATTATATTATATTTTTATAATTTATTTATTTATTTTTAAAAATTAATTTTTATTTTGCTATTTTTATATAAAGACTGATTAGCTTCTATAAAAAAAGTTATATATTATTATATATAGCTGCGGATGCTGCAGTCGGCTGTAGTTTTTTTTAATTTATTTATTTTATTATTTTAATAATTCTTTTAGTTCTATTTTATTCTATTTATACGTTTAATCGGATTTTGTTTAAAACTTTTTAATAAGCTATTTCTAATATTACAGAACGGATGGATTGTACTAATCGAAATATATTTTAAAATAAAAAAATAATTAAAGAGCTATTTTATCTATTTATATAAAATTTTTTTATATATACTAAGCTAGCGCTAGTTTAGTATGTAGCGTGCGAGGCCTCAGACATCAACTGGTATCTGAAGCTGAGCTCTATATCAGGGCCTTGGTCCCATAACACTGACGGTTAACCGTTTTAAGCAAAACGGTTAAGAAATACAGATACAGATATAAAAATAAAATACTATATAAATCTTTATATAATTTAATGTATTGTAATTTATACTATAGAATATAATATCGATATTATATATATATTCTTATTACCGAATACATAACCAATACGGTATATTCCTCAACGGTTAAAAATTGACTAAGAAAAATGGTCTGAAATTGATTAGTAATGTATTAAATAGGACATAGTTGTATTGGACTGTATTCAAAATGTAAAATATAAATATAAATAAGATTAAATTTTAATTACATTTTAAAAACATCAGTATACAATAAAATATACATCCAAATACAGATTTCAAACGCTTGGTTTTTAACCTGTTTTTCAACCAAAATCCACTCTACCCCGATCCCTAATATCAAAGCACCGTTTTTTATAACAGATAAATGATTCAACTGAGTGATAACCGCTTTAAGTTGTTCTCAGCAATATGCTCTAATACATGTTAATCTGTTTTTCAGTGGTTCTATAGCGCTACTACAGTACAAAGGCCCACTTTTCCGAAATCCTCTCTCACATGCAGAACAAAGAGATAAAGCACAGCCCCTTCCGAAACTAGGGACTGTGATGGCTAGGGCATAAATCAATGATCGCGCAGTCACATAGATCTAGGCACTAAACTCAGAACAAGTTGTGTCCTGTGTATCATGGCAGAGCAAATTGGTGGACCCCGATTCCTTTACTGGTTGGCAGAGGGAGGGATAATAGGAGTCGGCGGTTGAACCCAGTCGAAGGTGCCGATCAGTTTGGTCAACCAAACATCGTCGGGCTTTTGGGCCGCCCACGGTTTCTCCTCCGTGAACAGAGAACCACTTAAGAAGGTATGGGGAAACCCAGGATCAAACTCGTAGCTGGTTTCAATTTGTGCAAGCTCCTGAGCATCTAGGGCAATGCTCAAAGCCTTGATGTTTCCCTGAAGGTGGTCCACCTTCCTCCCCCCCACGATCGGAAACACGTAGGGCGCTTTCTGCATGACATAGGCCAGTGCGACACTGGTGATGTCTGTGTCTTTCTTGGTCGCAATCCCCTCGAGCACCTTGGAGACGGCGATCTCCACCGCGGTTGGAGGTTTTGATTTGCGCCCCGTCTGAGTCTGCTCGCGCTGGCGGAAGGTGGCCTCGGTCTGAAATCGCCCCTGGCCCAGAGTCCCATATGGAGAGATGGCCATCCCTTCATCCCGACACATGGGCAGGATCTCCCGTTCTAGGTCACGTATCGACGCATTCCACATCCCCTGGTAGACCACGAACGGGCGCAAGCCGTGATCACGCGCATATTGATTGGCTTTCGTAACCACCCAGGATGGGGTATCGGAAATGCCGAGATAAAGGACCTTCCCCCCAGAGACCAAGTCGTTGAGTGCGTGCATCAGTTCCGGAATGGTGGTGGCATAGTCCCACCAGTGAACATAGAAGATGTCGACGTATTCGGTTTGTAACTTCTTAAGAGAAGCAGCCAAAGAAAGGCGCATGGATTTGATGCCGTTGCCCCCATAGTTTGACTGGATGGTGTCCTGCTCATACCCCTTATAGCTGGCCGAAAATTTGGTTGCGATTACCACCTGATCTCGAACTTGTCGGGTCGCCAGCCATTCACCGATCCACATCTCGGACTCTTCGTTTTGATAGCCATTAGCAGTATCGATGAAGTTTCCCCCTTTCTCGAAGAAGTGATCGAGAATTTGGAAAGCAGTCTCCTTGGAACACTCCCCCATCCTCTCTTTCCAAGCCTCTCCAAAATTCATCGTCCCAAGGCAGAGGGGAGAAACGCGGATTGACGCATTGGGTGCGAGCTGGCGATGCCGATGAAGATTAGATTTCAGCGGAGGTGGCGGAGCAGGAGGCATGGCGGTTGATCAGTCTTGATCGGCTAAGTGGTCTCTACTAGTTGAAGTATTCAATTCGTTTCTTTGTTCTCTGTAATCTCGTTTTCACTCACTCTGCTAACCTGGAGTATTTATGGTTTGCCAGATGTACAGCATTTGATCACCATGACGTACGATATCACGGAGAATAGAGGTTATCTCCCCTATCACCGAATCATAGTTGAACCATTGAATTCGCCGATTGTGAATAAGGTGGCGATCGCGAGCCGACGGCCGGCGGAAGAAATCGCAAGATATGTAGGGGTGGGCAAGAACCGGCAGAACTCTGTTTAGTCAGAGCGGATAGAGTGGTAGGTATAAATCTATCTATACTTGTTGTCTTCAGTATGTTAAGTTTAGTCTTCTACTAGTATACCGATTTAATCAATACACCACTATTATATCAGGTAAAATAACCCAAGTAGCATGGAATACTCGGGTCGTTCTCTTGTCGAATAGGACGCCAGAATAGGACGCCAATCCACCAAAGGGAAGATTATTGATAACGAGTTTTGAATTCTCCTCCAGTGATCCGATCATTGCAATCCCAGCAGTCAAAGACCTGCAGTGCGTAATTTACTCTTCATAATGTATCATGAATGTGATACTTGTTGGAACTACTTCATCCGATCTGGCTCTTGGTCGATCGGATTCCGTTACTCTCCACATCATTTAATCTTTCTGGGACAATTCATCGGTTTTATAGTCGATGCTTAATACTGCCGCAAGCACACCGCTTGTATCTATATATCACATCTTGTTCTCTTACACTCTCATCTTAATTTAATGCCCCAAATCTAGTGGTTTCATGTAGTGCGACCGGATGTTTGATGCCCTTTCTATACCTGGGCGCAACACTGCATTGACTTATCTTGATCTCGAGCGAGCTCCACAAGTAGATGATATTGTTCTATTGACAAACTAGAAATAACTATTCCCATCTACCACTAAAACACCCTTCGAGTTACTTAATATGGCACAAGCTCCCCTCCACATGCATCTAATGACAGAACCTTGCAAATCCAACCTGAATCTTTCGTGTTGAACTAGCCGGGATATAGTGAGAAGAAGAGAAAATGAAAGAAAAGAAGAGAACGGGCGCGAAAGAGGCTCTAGAATACACGGCTCAGTAAAGAAATACGCAGCTTTCCACCTCCAGCTGCCATATTTGCTCCTGATTTTGACTTTGCCGACTCCGGTGTCTAGGGACTGTCCCAAACATGATTGAACATCACGAAAACCGCAATGGGTCTGTGACCGGACGGTTCCGATAGCTAGGTGGCGAAGCCCAACGACCGAGAACGCGGAGCTTATTGACGAGAATCATAGTCCAGGCTAGATTCTATACTGCTCGAAAACGTTGATGATATGATCGATTTCCTTTTGTCGCCAAGTGTCAACTTCCAAGTGGGTATTATCCAAGCGGAAGACCATATTCCTGGCCGCAGCGTTGTAGACCGGCCATTTGAGGTCGAAATTCGCGACTGCATCTGTTAGCGTTGGAGTCCAGATGAGGCTAACCAGAGAGTTGATCTTATCTTACCTTGGTGTGAATTCGGGGACTTGGCAACAGCGAAGCTGATCCACATACGGCTCATGAGGACGGCGAGGTCGTCGTACTTGCGTGCCAGGCTGGTAGAGTTGGAGGCAAGTGGGTTAGTGGCGTAGCCTACGCCGGCATGGTTCCGGAACACGAAGCCAATCTCTTGGAAATGGGTTGCGCCGAGAATTTTGGGGTCAATCCCATTCGGCACGGCATCGAACCGATAGCTGTATGATGGGACTCCATGCGTCCGCCACATGTCGGTGGCGTAGCGTCGACCAGCGTGGAACATACTGTCTCCCAGGTACAACGTTGCTTTGCCCCAGAGAGATCCATAAGATGAACCCGGGGACGGGGAAACAGTGCCAAGGGCAGTCTGTGCCTCTTCGCTGGAAACATCCTGGATGTACATTGTCGCTAGGTCCTTGATGGTTTCTGGTGAGAGGCCATGTCCTGTGTCGAAAGCGGTCGCGAAAGCCGCGAAATCGGCGGCGTCATCCACTTTGATTTTAGCAGGAATGGAGAACGCCGTACCCTCGTTGGTGTTACTGCCCGTGAGAAGTGGCCGCTTCACAAACCGGCCTTCTCTCAGGGCAACAGAAGGCAAGCCTTCGATCATAGCGCCGTCTATCACGGGGTAAAATGAGACCCCTTGGAAAGCAAGCTTCAATGTCTCAGCAGGAATCGCGCGAAGACAATCAATACTGTCGGCTGCTCCGGTGCAGTTGGTCTGGTTCAACACTTTCCTATAGAGCACGTCCTGCTGGTCCAAGGAAAGGAGGGCACTGGGCGTCAGCGGACCTCCACTCTCCGCGATTCCGCCGGAGAACAACCCCTCATCACGGCCGCCAAAGGACAGGAAATGGTGTCCGACGGATATGCCACCAGAAGACTCGCCGGAGATAGTGACCCGCGAAGGATCACCACCAAAGGCGGCAATATTTTCTTGAATCCAGAACAAGGCCTTCCGTTGGTCGTAAAGACCAAGATTAGCAAGTCGTGATTCATTGACAGCACGACCGTAGAGAAACCCAAATCCTGAGAGGCGATAGTTGAAGCTGACCCCAATGATTGGCGTACCCATCCGCACAGACTCCTCAACCAGAAAGGTCATGTTGTATCTTTGATCAGCACTGCCGCCTTCCTGAAGACCGCCACCGTGGATCCAAACCAGTACAGGGAGTTTGCTGCATTCATTGACCCCACTCGGTCTTACAACATTAAGGGTTAAACAGTCTTCACTCTCTGTGTGAAGAAATCCCTTCTGAGAGAAGCCTGGAAGGTTGAGGGGTGCAGAGTGACACCAAGGCCCGTACTCCGTTGCTGATTTCATTGCCCATGATTCGTTGACTGCTTGAGGGTGCTGATATCGCAGGTCTCCGACTGGTGGCAGTGCATAAGGGATTCCCAAGAAGAAGTCTTGAGCAAAGTGCGGGTTGTAGACGCCAAGAAGAGTGCCATTCTTCACGGTAGCTTTTGGGTGATGTCGAAAATGGCTATTGGTGGCCAGACCGGTTACGGCGACCAAGAGGTATGGTATGATAAGGAGTAATGTCCTCATTGTACGCGTGGAAGTTGTGGACAATGATCAAATAAAAGATAGAATGATGCAGTGAGTTGAAAAGGGGGGAAGAGCGTCGTGGACGATATTTATAGGTCGCTAATACACCATACACCAGACCCCTAGATACTGTGAAAGCTCATGCAGATCTTGCTTATGATAGAGTTCCATGCAGATTAGTCAATCACAGCTATTAATTTTGTGGTGTGCCGGCGTTTAGAAGACGAAAAACGGAAACATCGGAGTTTACGTTTGTAAGAAGAACGCCAAGGTGCTGTAGTGGGTATTTAGAGCTCAATATCTGGTTCCATCATGATCTGAAGAACTTTCTAGCTTGTGATCCAGAATTAATTTCTAAGCTGGTGCATTTACATTAAAGCCGGCATACACCAGGGATAGTCCTCACAATCGGACAGCAAAGCAGTATGACAGCGAACCGTTGTTCTTACCTTAGCTATATACTACTAAATAGGATAAAAACTTCAACGAATTGATTAGAACCAATTTTTAGTAGTAGGGAGATAATAGGATAGACTATATCATAATATAAATCATTATCTATTTTTTATGTTCAATTCACAATAGTTTTATTATAAAATAGATTTTATCTAAAAAGTGCTCTATTTATTTCATTTAGTCTTGTTATATATTTATATGGTTACTATAAGTATATTATACTCTAGGTTTCTATCGTATATTAGATTATATAAGCTTTATATCAATTTTAAATACTAAATTAAAGTTCTAGCTTCTAGTAGTAGCTATAGTAAAGAGCAACAGTTTGCTGTTGCGCTGCTTTGCTGTCCGAATATGTTAGTTAATAAACTGGATGAAATTGTAACAGCCTAGCTTAGGATACAAGGGATACTAGCTTGCACTCAGTGGCTAACACTGAGGAAGCTTCTATCTTATTTCTATCCTAGAGCCTCTTGTAATTTCTTCAGAAAAGCGACCAAAATTGGACAAAATAATAACGCACCCTATAATGGTCCGCAAGCGAAGGCAACTTATCAAAATGCATCTGGTTGATAGAAGTAATTCATCTTTAGCTTTCTAGCGAATTGTTAAGGGAAAATAGGTCAGTTAGGTATAGAATAGCAGCAGTCTATTTAATTTTCAAGACTAATCCTTGCTATCCCGAAGGTCTAGCAAGGTCCTAGGGGTTAAGTACTGAGAAACCGAGAGTCATTGACGTCATGACCTGTACGCAGGGGACACGTAGGTAAACCACCGCTATTTCGCTATGTTTCCGCAGGTTATCCATGACACGAATAATTGCACATAATGTTAATTCTCAATAGGTTTGCTTGTAATCCGAGTTTATAGTGAGTTCAAACAGCTATCAGAAACAAGATGAATGACAATAGCACTAATTCGCGTAGTGAACGTCAAAAGCAATTGCTAATTGCTTGTGAATATTTTCAGGCCCTTCATCCCGATTTCCTTTGAGCTTGGATTCTCCCCCAGGCGCCGCGGAGCATATCCTCCACTGTCTCATAGTCGATATCGGGGAACCGCTCATTCCAAACCGGCTTCACATCCCCAACCCCTTTAGAAATGCCCAAAGCCCAGCCGCTAATAAAAGGTACTACGACGTCTCTCATGATTTCGGCCGATAGATCAGGCGCATAGGCAGGGATCCATGGAGACTTGAACTCTCCTTTTTCAAGATCTTCGGGACGAAGAGAATAGATTGTAAACTTTTGGCCTGAGGAACCGTCAGTCTTAGTGGCAAGACGCTTTGGCTTGAAGACGCTTTGGCTTGATCAAAAAATGATGGATCCTGTGGATGTCTTACCGGTTATCCTCTCAGCCGTTTCGACAATCTCCTTATACGACGTTCTCTGGCCAACAATCCCACCATCAAAGGTCCAGGCATCAGGGTAGTCGATAGCACGTGCCACAACCTTTGCGACATCCGCAGAGGATGTAAAGACAACTGGGGATGTACCGTCCTCGACAAAAACAGCACGGGCATTTTCAAGGTCAAATAAGAGAGGGAAAGTATCGAAATTCTTCGAAGGAGGGCACGGATGGGCAAGGTAATCCATCAGTAGACCAGGCTGGAAGAGACCCCATTCGATCACCTACAGCTTGGTATACATTTATTAGAAATGTCGGATCTTGGGGGGGGGCTTATGGTAGGCGGAAGATGAATACGGACCTTTTTGTCTTTGTTCAAGTTTTCCAGGTGGTCAAGAACTGGCTCTTTCATATCGTACATCTGGATACCCGAGCGAACCTTACTAAAGAGAGTAATAGAAGATTCCTTTAGCGATGCGAGACGAACACACATTGGCTTTCAATTGATCATACCCTGCCCATTCGCTGGGTGCGAGTCTTGTTACACCCGCAGCCACGGCTGCATCGATCAATGCAATCTGGTTGTTGCTACCAGGGTCACTCATAGGGTTGAAGAAAGCCAAGACGGTATGAGTTCCTCGGAGCATATTGACCAGGTTTTCATGGCTGTAGTCCGTTACTTGAAGAGTCTTGACTCCGGGAATCTGATGTTCCGAAGGATCCTGTCGCTGCAGTATTAAAACAGGAGACATTCAAGCAAATGCATAGTGTTCTTTCACATACCCGTCTGGTCCAAAGATGGATTTCGTGCTTGCCTTGGGCTCCAAGTTCTTCCACGATTGCACGGCCGACACCTGTGATCAAATGAGAATTAGCAGATGCAACAACTGAGGAAAAGAAAATTCTGTGCTTACGGCCCGCGCCCCCGACAATTGTCACTCGAACCATTGGGAAATTGCACAGTCTAAGAGCAAAAACTGTTGTATAAGGAAGCGAAGAAGTGTCGTGAGGGAAAGAAAGATTCCTTTATGGGTCTCGATTTGGAAGGCCTTTCGCTATAAATACACAGTAGACAAACAGTCTCGAATTTGCGCCACGTCATTCACAATTGACTAAGAGTATTAGTAAGATGAAGGGTGGTAAGTTCGTTCAAGGTTTACCAAAGCAGCAGTCAGTTCCGTTCCTCACGGCGGGCACCTGCAACCTTGACGTCGGAATCCCTGACCCGCAATCAGTATTCTGCCACCCTCTTAGAGCGAATCATATTCCGAATTGCTTGTTTCCGCCGGCTGACGGCCAGAGGTGGGTCGGGGCATACTCCGGAGTCGATCCTGCCGATACGGAAGTATACCTCGGGGATAAAGGTTCATATCACCGTACTCCAGGGTAGTTGCAGCTACTGTTGGTACTGTGTGGCTACGAGGGCTCCGGTTATCCGATGACTGGGTTTTTCGAAAGATCTACCGCAGATATACCGCAAACCCTCCGCAGGTTCTTGTCGCGAATTAGCGGGAACTCAGACCAAATACCCTCCGCTGTGGGTAAGTTAATATTCTACTTCGGCTTGTGAGTAATCGGAATGTATTCAAGAGGCAATAAGAGAGAAGAGTACAATAAGCTTCTTAATAAGTTCATGGTCAGTGGTCCCGGATAGGGATCTTTCTTGAACATAACAGTTTCTAAGGTTTGACTTGACTTTAAATTAGCTAAGAAAGTGAAAAACCTAAAAATCTCCCAACTGACATCACGATTAATAATCAAACAGAATTTCACCACCCGGCCGAAATCCGTCTTTTTCTGCCATGACTCTTCATCTTGCAGCTCCATCCAATACGTTCACGCAAATCAACCGGCCCCGCCCGCCAAAGGATAATTGTTCTCTCAATGGACCCTACTCTCGAGCCGCGTAACATACCCAAGAGGCGTCGAGTCACCAAGGCTTGCGATCAATGCCGACGATGGAAAATCAAATGTGATGGTCTATCTCCATGTACTCATTGCCGGGTCTACGAGCAAAGTAAGCACTCTTGCTGGATGCGTACGTCTACTCTCACCTCATTCGGCTTTCCATAGGCTGTACATATGTAACTCCATCTCGTCGGCCCAAATCTGGTGTTGAAACCGTCCTTCAGCTAGAAGCACGCCTGCAAAAAGCTGAGAGGTTGCTCAGAGCTGTGGACGCAAACTTGGGCTCTCAGAACCCCGAGGCGGATTCCACAACCAGAGCAAATAACGTAGTCCCTACCATTGCGTCATGTACCAGTCGCAGCAGCGCGGAGGTATGTTCCAGCTTCTCTGTTCTCGCCTCAGTTATTGGCTCAGCTGATAGTTGACGATGGAAAGGAATCATCCGCTGTGTCACCGCAAATACCAGCCGCTGAAGATATCGGCGCAGAGATAAGCGAGAGCCTTCCGAGCAAGGAGGTTGCCTACGTATTGCTGCGACATGCTTTGGAAGATGCATGTGCATTGCAAAAATTTGTCCACGAGCCATCCTTCTATATGATGGTTGAACTGATATACAGCACTCCACCTGAAGTTCTTCGGCAGAAGTACCCCCATTCACTCGCTCTACTCTTTGCGGCACTGGCGCTGGGAAGCCATTTCTCGAGAGGGTTATCGCCCAGTGGCAGTCTTTCCCAGGACTCATTCACAGCTAATTTCATTGGAGGGTAAGTCAGCATATGGCCTCCTTTGGATAATGCATTGCTGCCATAGCGGACACACAACTCTAATACAAGATTCAAATAGGCCAAATTATCTAAGGTTGGCATTAAGGCTATTCGACCCTGTCGAAGATCACAGCATCATTTCGCTACAGTCACTATGTTTTATCGCGATTTTCTTTCAGTCATCGGGCCAATTAGAGCAGTGCCACACCTACACAGGCCTCGCACTTCGGTCAGCAGTGGCTCTAGGATTGCATCGACCTGAAATCGATGCTCATGACCTTGTCAAACGCGAAACACAAAAGCGTGTCTTTTGGACCATCTGGCGACTAGATATATACAGCAACTCGTTTTTGGATATCCCATCATTGCTCAGTATCAACGACGTTTACCAACCCTATGCAGAGCCGATCATGGAGGATTATGGTAGAGGAGAGAGTGACGCAGATCCCGGAAAAGATACAAACGCCGTAACGACTGGAATCAATATGCATATCGCCCTGACTGCAATCATGCCAGCGGTGATGAGGCATCGCAAAGTCTTCCAGAGCTTGACGGCGGGATCTGCGAGTGATGTAGAAGGCCTGATACAAAGATCTGGTATGCGTTCGATTGAAACAAAACTCAAAGAATGGTTTCAAACTCTTCCAAGCGAGCTGCGACCTGGGTCTCAGAGATCTCTTCAGACTGAACGGTGAGTTTCATACCCTTGCACCCTCCGGGAGATTTCAAGTCTGAGTCCATACAGTATTCGACAGCTTTTACGCATCGCGTATGCGTACGTGCAGATGGCCCTCTATGAACCGCTGCTAGAGCTGGCTCCTCGAAATGCTGAGTGCGACATCGATCCCTCGGTTCTTTCATACCTCAAGTTATATTTCACCGTGACACGCAACCTTGTCAGCACAGGCTACTCAATTCACAGAATGAATGTGATGAACTACTCCGCCCGCGCTACCATGGTATCCACCACCTACGCAGCCATCATGTCACTTACTGTCTTCATGCTTAAGATACCCGCTCCCTCCGCAACCAAGGGCGTTGTCCTCCAAGAAGCTTTTGAGGGTAAGACCATAATTGAAGAACTAGCTCCAAGGAGCTCATTGGCCACTGAGTTCCTGCAGAAGTTGAATGTGAGTATTCTATGTGGTAGGGGAATGTTGGGCGAGTAGAAGCACTTACTTGCCCCAATAGGTTACAATGAGCCAGTTCCAGAACATGATACGACCTCCTCTTAATATACAATCTCCGTGGCCAAGTTATACTCCCAACATGGCGGTCATTAGAGAACCAGGATGGAGTGACGAGCTACAACCAAGGAAATCGTGCACCGAGCCTGCTCCTGTGTTCTCATTTCCTAGGCAAGGTCCTTCTATGTATGAGCCCAACCTGAGCTTGGATCTAATCCAGGATCCCTGCATCTCTGAACAATCGCTGCCTGTGTTTATGTTGCCGCTGTGGCAAAACCTGGAGGACTTCGATCCAATGGCTATAATTGGCTACCCCCTGACGGACGTTGATGCGCAGCCATAGCGAGGTCAAAGTCTATCCTCTACTTTATTCGGGCATGTTATTTAGGCTGCCTTCCGCCGATATAGCCTTGTAGAACCAGTACATATGTTGTGTGAACTGGTAATCAACTGGTGAGAGATATAGTTCCTCGCACGACATAGTAGTAATAGAGACCAAAGCACTATCCCACCGAGAGAGTACCAGTAATCCCCGACTTCGGCTGAGAAGAGTGTACTTGCACAGTAACTGACATAGCTTGACAAGCATTTGAATAAACTATCCTGAAAGAAAGCAACCTCCAGCTACTTGCATCTCGATATCTCCTCATGTGCAAGTGCGAAACGACACATTGTTTCGAGATCCATGATGGGCTGTACTTGCCCTTGGAAAAGGGACCGGAGTTTTATTGTTTCAAGGGGCTGTAGTGTTCAATAGCGACCCGGAATGGCCTTCATAGATCGGGATCTGGGCCGGACTTAAGAGCCGCGACTCGGTCCGAGGCCGAGGCGAATAAGAATCTGCGATTTACGCTCCACCAGAATCAGCCATCGGACTTATAAACTTGTACATGGAGCACGCGCCTGAATTATTAATTCCAGTCTGGATATTTCACATAATTGAGAACACTGGGCATCCCGAGTTACATCCTATCTCCGTGCACAACTTTTATGCAGTGTCACTTTGAGGCCAATTTCCCGCGTGCTTGCGTATACTTATTGTAGCTCGATCCCTGTTGTTGGGTTACCCTTGAAGAAACCCCAAATTTCGATCGACTACAGCCTCATAAGCTTGGATAAGCTAGCTAGTCGAGCCTTTCAAGATTTGTTTCAGTCGATAGTGAAGGCTCGGATCTCCCTGCCGCCCCCCATCACGCAATGATGCAGTCTTTCAAGATCACGATGGCGAATAACGCCACGATGTCTGGCATCCGCTCTTTCCCGGTAGCCGCGACCGCGACCGCTCGTCATGTTCCACTGATCGTCGGCCTCCACGGGGGGACATACAATTGCCAATATTTCAACGCAACTCCACGATTCTCTGCGTCCGCAACCAGTGCTTCACTAGGTGTTCCGTTCATCGCGATCGACCGACCTGGTTACGGAGACACCAGCTCTTTCCCTCCGCTCCCTGAGGGATCCAACTTCTTCGTGGAGACTGGCTCCTGGCTTCATCATCACATTCTGCCCGCCCTCTGGTCTGAGTTCGGGATCCCCTTGGGCTGCACGTGCATCGTGCTGCTGTGCCACAGCTTCGGCTCGATGGGGGGCATTGTCGCCGCGGCGAAGCACGGCCAAGACCCGGCACCAGCTTACCCTTTGGGAGGCTTGATCCTCTCCGGGATAGGAGACGCACAATCCGAAGCCATGCAAAACCGGCCGCCTCCGCAGCCGACGGCCGATACCGGCGGCGTCCTCTTCCCGCTGCAGTTCAAGGATCAAGTCATGTTCCTTCCGGGAACCGTCGACAACGAGGTGTTGGAGCACAGTGCGCGCCTCAACGCGCTCTCTCCGCCTGCGGAAATGCAACAGTTCCCGGGGAATTGGCTTCCGGTATGGAAACAGGACTGGGCGATCCATGTCCGAGCGCCGGTCATGTTTGCGCTGGTGCAGAATGACGTGTTCTTCAAGGCGACCGAGGAGGAAGTCAAAACCTGCACCCAGGCATTCAGGACCAGTTCGCGCGTTGATGGGAGTTTGATCAAGGGCGCCCCTCATTGCATGGAATTGAGCTATTGGTCACAGGGGTGGTATGCTCGGTGCTTTGGGTTTGCGTTGGAGTGTGCTACCAGTTTTGCTCTTGCTGCATAGGGTATTGTACCTATAAGAGGCAGGGTTGAGTTGTATTTATCAAACTATCCGTGCCGAAGGGATTTTTCTTCTATTGACTTTTTATTTTTGTGTGGATTTAGCTAGGTAGCAGATGCTTTTCGCATATGCTTCTCTTGTAACTCAAACGCATAGTGTTCTAGTATGCCCGGAAACTGATTTGGAGGGTGCGTAAGATTAGGGCTAGAGACTAAATGGGCGAGGTGAAATCCCGAAATTGAATCATGTATTGAATTAAATAGGATCTTTGAAACATAGTCCCTCAAATTTATCTTCTCCCCGCCTTCCACCCCTTTATCACCAAGGTAATTCCTTTCCATCATACTGATTCATCCCCGGATTTTCCTCCCATCCAGGAATGTGGATATTGAAGAATTTCCCGTTTCCCTCGCATCCAACCCTTTGAAGAACCCTGAGGACCGCCGCAACTCCCGTTTCAACTGGAAGATCAGCCATGTCGCTGCCCAAATCAGTTTTGCACCACTGTGTCATCGTTAATTATATGAACAACTAGAGAGAGATGATAGGTCTTTTGAAGATGAGGTAGACTTACTCCTGGACTAACGCAGAAAACCGAGAATCCTTCCTCTTCAAGACTTTGGGAGTAGGCAACTGTGAGCATGTTCAATGCAGCCTTGGTAACCTTGTAGGAGGGAACCAGCGACGATTTGTAGACGGGCTGCTTGGTGATAGACCCGAGACTCGTCGAGCTAAGATAAGAAGTCATAAGCCAATATGTCCCTAACAGGGTTGTGGGCTACCCACATGTTGAGGATCTTTTTCTGGTCCCCCTTCCTCAGAAGAGGCAAGAATTCCCGGATGACATTATGCACTCCAGCCACATTGACCCGGAAAGTCTCTTCCAGGTCATCCCTGGATGTCAAAATGGTCAGTCCGATCTCACAATGGACTGGGTACATTGGCCTTCGAATAGCCATAGAACTACTCACATCTCCTCAATAGGGCTGTAATTCATGACGCCCGCATTGTTGATGAGTACATCCAGTCCCCGGCCGTTCAAGGCATTGGTAACGAGAGTCGCGGCATCTTGCGCGCTTTGCCGGTCGGTAACGTCCAAGGGGACATACAGCACCCGGTCTTTGAATTGCTGGAGGAGCTGCTGGAACTTGGGCGTGTTGGAAGATCGCGCAGAAGCGAAGACCACGCCGACCTCATGCTCGGGCCTTTCCGCTAGCTGGCGAGTTAACTCGAGGCCAATCCCTCGGGAGCTTCCGGTGACTAGATAGGACGCCATAGTGAGGTTATGGATTGCAATACCAGAAAAGACAGATGAGACAAGTGATGTCAGTAGCACACACCAATTGATCGCTGCGTTTTATAAGAATCATCACGTTGGCTGCTTAGAAATCATGTTCTGCTGGTTCGGGTTTAATGGTCAACTATCCCGTTATGTCCACCATGGAAACCGCGCAGCATTTTTCTGTGCGAACGGGGATTCTACAGATCCACTCTACGAGTGGAGCCTGGGGAAATGCTTCGATGCCGAGCTCCGGCGGAGCCTTCCCCCTGGACCCACTCTGATTCGCCACTACAACAATCACTACATTGCATGCTATATATTGTAGGTACGCAGTGGTCGAGATTGATCCAACTCAAGATAACGCCCGTAGCTCCCCTCCCCTGGTCACTCGAATACTTCCACATTGAAAATCTCCCCGCAAACTGAAAAGAGTGCAACAAAACCATGCAGAAAGCTATTGTCATCGATCAAGTCGGGAAACCGGCCATCTCGATCAACCGACCCATTCCCCAAGCCGGCTCCCACGAGCTCCTCCTGCGGGTCACGGCCACGAGTCGTAAGTGAACCCCTCCCTGCTATCAATCTCAAATTTGCTGATAGAAATAAAACCATAAAGTCAACCCAGCAGATCAGAAGACCCGTGATGAGGGGTTGTTCTTCAAGCAATCCTCTCAAGTCCTGGGCCATGAGCTTGCTGGCGAGGTGATCGCAGTCGGCCGCGAAGCGGCTGCGGCTGGATTTCTCCTCAGCGACCATGTCTTCGCCCAGGCAAACTTCGCTCCGGGTCAGGTGTTGGCCAACGCTGGTGGCTTGCAGCAATACGCCGTGGTGGATGCCCGATTTGCGGCCAAGGTGTCAGCGGCCGGCCTCACCGATGAAGCTGCCGCGACGATCCCCGTCTGCGCGATCGCGGCCTTCATCGCCCTGTTCCACTCCACTGGTTTGGCCCTGCCCGTCCCGGCTGCGACCCCGGCGTCCCAAGCAACGTCGGAGTATCTGGACAAGTCTATTCTCATCATTGGAGGTGGCTCGAACTGCGGCAGATTCGCTATTCAATTTGCCAAACTAGTCGGATTCGGTCGAGTCTTGACGACCGCGTCTGCGCGCAACCAGACTGAGCTGAAGCAACTCGGGGCGACCCATGTGATCGATCGTCATGCTGGGGACGAAGCCATCGTCCAGCAGATCCGGGATCTCACCGGGGACGGTTTGGTGCACGTCTTCGATGCAGTCAACTATGCGCCGGAGCAGAAGCTGGGGCTTGCGGTTCTGTCGAATGCCCAACGGGGCTGCTTGGTCACGCTCAATAGAACCCCCGAAGCTGCGTTCAGTGCCGCTGAGATTGGGCCCAAGGCGGCTGGATTCGAGCACAAGATGACGTTCGGCTTCAGTGCACTTTACCCGCAAATCTCGAAGTTGTTTTGGAGTAGAGTGGCCACCTGGGTCAAGGAAGGAGCACTGCGACCGGTGCCCTTCAGTACTCTTCAGGGTTTGGACTCCACGGCTGTGAACAAGATCCTGGACGGTTATCGCGATGGTCAAGGCCGGAAAGTGGTCATCAACGTCTGAACCTGGCGGGGGTGCGCGGAGACATCTGCTTGATCGCATTTTGAGTTGGATGTGCAGATGAAGAAGAAAAATCAGACGTAGTTACTACGTTTCTTTCTTTTCTTTGATTAAGACTACTTAGACAAAGGATTTGTCACTAGAGCCTGGGGACGATTCGACAATTTTCCAATGACGCTGGGAGACTCAGAGTTGAGACCGAAAACGCATTCTCTCGTAAACAAACAAAATTCTTGCCAAGACGTTAACATTCTCATTGGGGAAAAGAAGTCCTCATTTGTAAAAGATAGACTACGACGAACTATTACATCGTTTTCTCAAAGATATTCAACCTCAGCTAAATTTATGTCGCCGCTGGTCTTATCAGCCTGGGCATCACGCTGTGGTATTGCAATTTTCCTTCGGTCTCAACTTACAAAAAGGTCTGCCACGGGGTTCTGACAGCGAGAATTGGATTGATCTCAGACTGGCTGCTTTCGAAGCTCTGAGTCGCAACACCGAAGGATGACGGTTTGAGTATGATGTTAACTATATCACAAAGGAATTACTGCAACGTGTCTGGAAAATTCCTGACATGAGGAAATAAAAGTTAATTGTTTACGGCTCGCCTGTTTTTGACCGGGTTATTAGTAGGTGACCAGTAACAAATTCCCCCTGTTGTATGTCCTTGCTCGTCCGTCCTTTTGTAACTGGGAAGATAAGCTTAGAAGCATTTCGACTCATACTCTCGTACTGACGCTTTACCTCGCGGCGCGCGATGTTCCTCTGCCTTGATTGATACCCTGCAGATAGACGGGGCCCTGTGTGGCAACCAGCTAAGCCTTAGCATAAAGGCTCCGCCCTGCTTCAGCCTTGCAATGATCCATGCCAGTATGCATGCCAAAGCAGTCATCACACCACCATTATCTAAGCGACACCCGCAGTTGTAGCAGAAGAGTGCAACGGCAGAATGCAAATATAGTGCAAGGTTCTTGGCATCTTCATGCCGGCATTAGTCCCCTTTCCCACGGATCTGCCCGTGATGGCGACATCCATATCATCCCTGGGATCGCAAGGGACTCATATCTCCTTTACAAGGTTCATAACAACTCTGAGGACTTTTACTGTGCTCTCCTGTTGTTTTCTTATATTCTGTCTCTACGTCCGCCTTTTGGCCTACCGCAGGCTATTGCTTGACGATATACTTATCGTTGCAGCCTAAACAATTGTACTGGCTACTACAGTAATATAACAGATAGAAGCACTGGTTCTGTAGCTACTCTGCTACACGGAGACGTGAAGACGTCAAGATCTCCTGACAGTATGAAGTTGTTAATCCTTTACTCCCTGAAGCTATCGTGGATACATACATGTATGTAAATAAGGAATGAATAGGCAAGGAAAGAATAACTGCAGATGGGATAGAAGATATGCGGACGGCGATTAATAAGTAGTCTTCTTATTTTTATAATATTCTTATTATTTATTTATAAGCTCGTCGGAATAATACAAATTATTATTATTGTTGTTGTTGTCTTCTTCTGTATCCCTATCGGTATTAATAGAAGTATCACCGGAATCTAATACAGTTATATTTTTATACTTTTAAAGATATAAAATAGTATATTTCTTTTAAGATATACCTGCTTCCTCCTTCTTCTTGTCTGCAACATCTTTGAATACGTTTTCAAAAAAGTTAATAAAATTAATAAATTTATTTAATACTGTCTGGCAGCTTGCAGCTATATTATTTATTTAATTAAATACAGCTACTGCTACAGTAGGATTAAAAGTAAAAACATATCAGTTTTTTATAAAAGTAATATTTTATTATCTTCTATTCTTTTTATCAGTGTTAAGAATCTGATTAATTATATTTATATCGGACTGATCCCGGTCGATATAATAATAAAAACAATTATAATATTAATTATTTTATAAACTAAAAATTAAAGTAATATACTGTTCTAATATAAATTTATCGAAGACTCGGAAGTTGTCGATCCTATTTTAAATCACATTATTAAAGTTCTAATATTTAATATTTTTCTAAAGTATTATCTTGTCGGCTATTTTTTTAATCCGTTTAGTAGTTTTGGATCCCATTAGTATCGGCTTTCTTTTTCTAATCTATATATTTCTTATAGTATAGATTATATCAGACTTTTTTTACAAGCCCGATTTTATAAGCTGGTTTCGAAACATTGTCTGACTTTGATAAATTAAATCTAATTTCTATTTTATAAAATCTGTTTTTAAAACTGGAAATAGATGTTTCGGTAATATTACCTGACTTAAATAAACTGAATCTAATATCTGTTTTATAAAATTTATTTTTATTTAAAATAGATATTCCGGTAACATCGGGTATCTATGTCATGGATAACCCCTGTAACTATGGCGGATTGCCAATGGTATACCTATACATTCTCAGCGTAACGGTCGTGACGTTAATAACTCAGACCTTTCTTAGTATTTAACTAATCAAAAGGGGTTATACTATTGAAGGTTGAATGTGATTAGAGAAGGACTTCCCGCTATAATTTAATTAGCTGAAGAAACAGCAGAGAAGGGTTTAATATTATTAATTTTATATATAAAGTAATATTAAACAGAGAAGAGATTTAATACTAAGAATTTTACTATTTATATAAAATATATTTAATTATCTATAGTCTAAATTTTGGTATGATCCACGAAGTTCTTAAATTTTTATTATAATTTAAGTTTAGTAAGTTTTTTTAATAGAATGCCTCTCAGCTGCAACTAATTTTTAAATCTTCTCTATTAAATTTTTAAGAAAAATTTAGAAGAATCTTTAATCTTAGATCTGTTTTATCTAATACTAATCTACAATCTATAATAAAAAATTAGTTTTTCAAAAAGACTAAATTCTTTTTAGTTATTATTTATAAATAATACCGATACAATATTTAGTTTAAGAAGATTATTTAATATTTTAAGTAATCTATCTACCGGATTCTATATAAGCAAGCTGTAGAAATTTAGAACTAAATAATTTAATAGAATTATTTTATTTTTAATATTAATTATATTAAGTTTTTTTATCAGCTAAGTCAACCAATCTCTATTATTTCTCTTCATTTAGATAGATTTTGCTGTTTTTAAAATAATAATAATATAATTATATTATTTATATATTAAATATTTTATATAATTATTAGAAAACTGTTTATAAATAGATTTAGAACTCCTACTATAGTCGAGTCAGTTTATAAAAATATATAATGAATAAAACTGAACTGCAGTAATTATATAAAATTATTAGCTGCTAATAGTTATTTTTATTATAGTTTAGATTTTATTATATTTATATTTAGAAACTAATTAATTTTTTATCTAATTCTATTAAAAAGCTAACTATATAGTAGATACTGTACTTTATATATAAAAGCAAGCTTAAAACCAGCAGAAGAATTAAGCTATTTAAATAGATAAAATTTAAAATACTAACTTTTAATTATATATAACTAAATAGGTAGTTTATTTAAAGAGAATTTTATATAAATATCTAACTAAATCGGTTGCTACTTTTCAGTTCGAATCCGACAGTATAATTAAATAGATAATTCTCTGTCTTTAATATACTATAAAAAAACTTATTTAAAAAAATTAGTATATTATCCAGTACTGTAGTTAAATTATTTATATTAAAATAGTACAGTCCGAAGTAGATTAAACCTCTTATTATTTATTTTAATTATATATAAATTAAAAGATATTAGTTAATATATATAGTTTTAATAGCAGATTCTTACTTTTATCAGCTGTATATAAATATTATATATTTAGTATAATTTTAAATATAGTTTTATTTTCTGATAGTAGAAAAAATAGCAGCAGCTGTAGTAGCTTATCAGTATATATATTATTAATCTTACTGTTATAATTCTTAATTCAGCTGATAATAATTGTTATAGAACCAAGGCCCTAATATAGAGCTCAGCTTCAGACATTAGTTAATATCTGAGGCCTCGCATGCTACATACTAAACTAGCGCTAGCTTAGTATATATAAAGAAATTTTATATAAATAAATAAAATAGTTTTTTAGTTATTTCTTCTTATTCTAAGGCATATTTTAATTAATATAATCTATTTATTTTATAATATTAGAAATAGCTTATTAAAAAATTCTAAACGGAGTCCGACTAAATATATAAATAAAATAAAATAAAATTAAAAAAATTATTAAAATAATAAAATAAATAGATTAAAAAAAACTGCGGCCGACTGCAGTATCCGCAGCTATATATAATAATATATAATTTTTTTTATAAAAGTTAATCAGCCTCTGTACGGAAATAGTAAAATAAAAATTAGCTTTTAAAAAATAAATAAATAAATTATAAAATTATAATATAACTTTTATTATTAACAGTAAACCAGAGGGAAATTCTCTATAATATTTATATAAATTAAATTATAAATCCCGTCTTCGGTATTGTAATATAGAATTATTTAATAGAAAAAATAAGTATAATTATAAATTATTTAAATTAAATATATATATAAAATTTATAATTAATAAAAGCTGTTATTCTACTAGACCGAAAAAAAGTTTTTTATATTTATAATTAATTATATAAATAAACAGCGCAACAGATATTTTTTTAAATTAAATTTTAAAATACTGAAATAGTATAATTTAAAGATATATTTATAATAATAGATAAAATATTTAGAAATTTTAATATATAATAAAAAGCTCTAAATTAAATAAATATAATAAAATAAAAAAAGAAAACTGAAAGAATTTTTTAAACAACTTTAATAAAGTTTTATAATAAATAAATAAATACAATTAGTCGGACGAATAGAAGAAGATTATATTAAATATTATAATAAATTAAAAATTTATTAAAAGTTTAATTAAAATTTTTTAAAAATTTATATATAAAGATTATTACAACTAACTGTATTATATAAATTATAATTTTAATAAAAAAGTTTTTTTAAAGAAAATTATATTAAAACTGTATCGGCGCAACGCAAACTGAGCTTCGAATTAATAAAATAAAAAT